TTTTCATATGACAATGAGACGATAGACAAACTAATACATACTAGTTTGAAACCCTAAATCTATTAAAAACATTGTAAAATTGAAATGAGGATCGATTAAGGGGTATTTAGTTTAATTTCTTAGTCACAGGTTTAGAGAAAGGTCAATAGAGTGAGGAGCACTAAAGAGAGTACTAAAATCTATATAGACACAATTAAAAAGCAATACACAGGTAAATAGAGTCTACTAGTGTCGATTATAGTTTTAGTGCACTCAATTGTGTGAAATAAACACTATCTTTGCAAAAACAGTTTCTTTTCAGTTTGAATGTGTTGTTTTTTGTAACGTCTTTCTTTTCCCTGAAGATGACCGCTTAGGTCGAAAGCTCGGTTTTTAAAATTATGGTTGATTGAGCAAACTACATGTAAATATGGTAAATACAACCAACAAAGATCTTTTAAAATTTTATTCATGCCAGATAGTATRAACAATCACTATACATTACATGTGAATATAAAGAATTACTTTCATTCAAACTTTACATGTATGCATAAACTTTTCTTTATCATAAAAATCCTCAAATAAATAAATATATTTTTTTAAAAAAACATTGACAGCAGTAGTTTAGGGTGATAAGTCTTAATCTAAATGAGACTGATCATAACAAAGGTAAAAACAGTTTTTATAGAAAACTACTTATTTAGTGTCTTTTCAATCAAGGACATMATCAAATTGGTTTGTTGTTGTTGTTGCTGCATGAGAATTTGTAGCTGCTGCTGCTGCATACTCATTTGTTCGCGCACAGACTCATGTTTCTTTCTCTTGTCCTTTTGCTCCTTCATTTTCAATCTTATTTCCTCCAAGTGCAGTTGATGCTGATTTTCCAACTCTTCTTCCTTGAATTTCTGTTCAATTTCACATTTCTCTCTCAAATAGCCCACGGTATCAGAGCCAGTTCTCCTTCTCTTTGCAGGTTTTTCTGGGTTGTCACATTCCGCGTTTCTCTTCTGGCTCTCCTTAAAAGTTTCCAACGACTGCCTTCGCATTTCCTCTCCCTTCTCTGCGTCATCTTCTATCTTTTTCTTTTTCTCTGTGGATGCTTTTTCGAATTCTCTATCACTTTCTTCCATCTGTGAAATAATGTCTGCCATCGCTTGGTCAAGTTCACTTTCTTCAGGATTAGTTCCACTTTCTCCATCTTCTTTCCTGACTTTCTGCTTATGTTTCTTTTCGAGCAGTACGTAGTGATCACGTAGTGATACTTTAAATTTTGGATTGGGAAGAGAATTTAACGGTGCACTTATACGGTTCCAACGCTCGCCCCTTTCTGTTGAATCTCTTTTATGATCCCAAGGTGAATGAGCAATAATTTCGCGCACAAACACGATGTTGTGCTCCTCTGTCCACTTCATCGCTTGACTCGTTTGACTGGAAGTGAAACAATGAAAACAATGTCAGAAAATTCCCGCGAAAATCGTAATCAAGACGAAGTCAAACAATGATAAAAAACTTGGAAAACATTGCGAAGTCGAAATTGGTTCTAGATATTTTGA